ATATATATACGTGCATACATTCATAAAGTACACATACATTGATGTTAGGCTCAAATTGAACAGTTCGGGCTTGAAATTTAGTTCGACCCAGGTACAGGCTTTAGGCCAAATTCTTAGGGTTGGGCCTAGGTTGAGCTTAGCCCAGCCCAGCCTGCCCCACCCCGCCACCCGGGTTGCACCCCTTAACTGAATTTTGAAAAACAGTAGTCTCTCTCTCTCTCTGTCTCTCTAAAATCTAAATATTGTTTTGTGCTTGGCAGCTGTGGTGGGCAATGGATTTATTGCCCGGGACATGACCATCGAGAACGCAGCGGGACCTAGCAAACATCAAGCGGTGGCACTAAGAAGCGGTTCAGATCTTTCTGCATTCTATCGCTGTAGCTTCGTAGGTTACCAAGACACTCTGTATGTGCATTCTCTCAGACAGTTTTACAGAGAGTGCGACATATATGGCACAGTTGACTTCATCTTCGGCAATGCAGCTGTTGTATTTCAAAACTGCAATCTGTATGCTCGTCGTCCCAATGCCAACCAGAAGAACATTTTCACGGCACAAGGAAGAGAAGACCCCAACCAGAACACCGGCATTTCCATCCTCAACTGTAAAGTCACCTTAGCGGCGGATCTCAGTCCGGTGAAATCATCATTCCACACATATCTTGGTCGGCCATGGAAAGAATACTCCAGAACAGTATTTATAGGTTCCTATCTCGATGATCTGATAAACCCAGCTGGATGGTTAGAATGGTCGGGCAATTTTGGATTGAGCACCCTTTACTATGGGGAGTATATGAATAAAGGTCCAGGTTCAGATACAACCAACAGGGTGAAGTGGCCTGGTTACAGAGTCATCAACAGCTCTACGGAGGCAACCCAGTTCACAGTGGCATCTTTTATACAAGGAGGTGGTTGGCTATCATCCACCGGAATTCCATATTCCGCAGGTTTAAGTTGAACATGAATTAATCAATCCTTCTGCGTTGAATAACAGCAGCTAGCAGTACTGTTTCTCTTGTGGTGTAACTTATCAATTTGCTGTTGCTTGGAAGAGGTTCACCGTCGAATTCTCTATATGGTGGTAATTTCACTTATTTTTCTGTGTTACTATTAAAGCTATGTCTGAATCCGTTAGGTCTATAATTGTAATGGTTTCCAATGAATACCAGCTAGTAATGCATCTGATTTGCCTGCTGTAACAGGGCTCTTTTACTTTGCTCAACGAGAGCTTTCCCATCATATCATCACTCTCTGGGTTGGCTTAAGATTGTGGTTTATCGCGTATTAGGTGGACGCATGAGATGCATGGTTTTATATTTTATTTTTTTAAATAATTAATAATTATATAAATTTTATATATTATTTTTAATAATTGTTTTACAATACAAAAAAATAATAATTAGTTTTAGTTAGGGTTGCCAATCAATCTAACCCAATTTGGCACGAGTTGATCGGTTTCTATTATCTCCAATTGACTTGATTCAATAATTTTCCAACCTGATCAGGTTGAATCAATTTCACTTTGGTCATTTAAAAATCAATTAAAATTGAATTAACCTGGCCTATATCGTAATGATGGGCTTGGCTTTTTTTTTTTTTTTTTTGTAAAGTGGGTTTAATTGCTTAGATCCTTAAGGCCCACAGTAACTAAGCATGCATTTAGGGATGGAAAATTTTCCCTCATGGGGACAAAGGATGGAGAAAGTTTCATCCCCATTGGTGGGGATGGGGAGAGTAGTCCCTGCCCCATGGGACCTCAATCCCCACCCGATGAGGATTATAAATTTTAATTATTTTATTTTTAATTTTTAAATTAAATAAAAATAAAATAAAATAATTGACATCATAAAAAAAAGTTATGGGGAATAGGAATCCCTGTGGGGATGGGGATAACCTTGTCCTTATGAGCAGGGATGGGGATAGGGATTTTTGTGGGAATGGATCCCATCCCCACTGTGCCCAATTGTTCCTATACACATTACAGATTTTTTTCATAAAATTTATTTTAAATCTGAAAAATACAAGTTAAAAATATGACATATTTTTTAAATCCAAAAAATTCAACATGAAAGCTGGGAGAATTTTCCACCAAAGTTAGGAGATATTTAATCCTACTTTTTCTTGAAAAACTACAGAGTAAATTTATTTGTGATGGCCTGGAAGGGCTTTGACATATTTTTCCGATTGAATTTACGGGCTACATGTAATTCAGGATTTTCCCTTTTTCATGAACATTATACTCTGACTGATAAAAGTGGGACTCGATCCCAGTCTCTACTACAACCAATTAGCTAGCTTTTTTATGTCTCCTATACACCCATAACTTGCAATGAGCTGCATCGAAGAGCATGAGAAATACTGCTAGAAGGGTCCAACACGGAGATTAGCGGGGCAAAAGTACAGGTTTCAACTACATCTTCTTTATTGTATACATTTGAGTAGTGGGGATCGTCGGGGAGAATATTCAATATTGCATTATAACTTTTAGATAAACTCAAAATTCATCGTCATTATCCAAGCCTTATCCCAATCATATGGGATCGGTTATCTGAATCCTGTTTTATTAATTTATTTTGTTTAATTTCATATCCATTATTAAACCATTGGCACTTAAATCTTCCTTACCTTTCTAGTCCATTCAACTTGTAACAAATCATTTCTTACCGGTGTTGTTGATGGTTTTTTATACACACTTCCAAACCATCTTAATTTATTTTATCTTGTTTTATCACATATTGGAATGACTCCTAAATTCCCATAAATGACTTCATTTATAATCTTATTCTTTTTAGTTTTTCCACTCATCCATCTCACCATACACATATTTACTACACTCATTTTTCGGGCATATTTCTTGAATGCCCAATATTTTGTTCCATACAATATAGCTAGCCTTATAATTGTTTTGTAGAATTATCTTATTAGCATTCACCCATCACATAAAACTCCATATACACCCCCTCCATTTTGCCCATCCTACTCTAATTCTATGGGCAACATCTTCCTCGATCTCTCCCTTGTTAGGAATCATCAAACCAAGCTACCAGAAAAAGTCACATTGATTTATTTTTTGGTCTCCAATTCTAAGCATACTTTGATTTGCACCCCCATCCCATTGTTGTCAAATTTATATGTGGTAACCTATTTTCTAAGGCATTTGTCTATAAGTTTAATTTTGCATTTAATCATTCATTAGTTTCAATAAGAACAATGTTATTAATAAACAACATAGATCATGGGACCTCCCTAAATATGTTTAATTAATTCATTCATAATTAATGCAAATAAATAAGGGCTAAGTGTTGGACCTTGGTGAAGACCCATCATAACTGTAAAATATAATGTCTTTCCATGGGTATTCTAATATTGGTTGGTGTGTCAATACATATATCCTTAATTAGACCTATATGCCTATTTTGAACCCCTTTCTTCTCCAAGACCATATGAAGACTTCTCTTTTTTTTCTCTAAACTTTTCTATCAATCTTCTCAAAAGAAAGACGACTTTTATAGTTGATCTCCGTAGCATAAATCCAAGTTGGTTTTCTAGTATATTTGTCTCATATTGTAATTGTTTCACAATTATTCCCTCCAAAGTCTTTATAATATGGTTCGTGAACTTAATCCCCTCATGGTCATTACAATTTTGTATATCATATTTGTTCTTAAATATAACTCAAAAATATGGATTTGAAATAAAATGGTCCATATCTCCTCAACTTTGAGTTTTGTCGATTCGTGCTAAGTTGTTCACTAACCAATAAGAATTAATAAAAAAAATCATTGGGTGGTTTTAATTGGTCAAACACAAAAAAATGCGATCTTTGACTTACATCAATATACCTCTTATTGTAATTATTGCACTTTCACATGTCACAGCAAACAATCAGGCCCTTATTGGTTAATGCAGAATTTATCACAAATTTTCAAGTTTAGAAGATTTTTCCACGAAAGCAAATAGTTTGTATTTATTTATGCACAAGAAGATCTACTACCCACAAGACACTCCTAACTTGTATGTTGCCATTGATAGGGTTTGTACGTGAGATTTGCAGCTATAGACTTATAGACAGCGTATTGTAGGTAGCAGATTAGGACACATATCTTTTATAATTTTGGTAAAGTAAATTTATAAGTTTGTTTAGTATGAATCAAAGTAGGCAAAGATGGTGAATGCATTAAGTAAGCACTTAGAAAATTTTGACACATGTCCCTTAAAATACCCCCACTCTACCCATGAAAAAGACTAAAAACAACTTTTGATACAGTTGTAAGAATATTAATTTGTGCCTACTAGATTCGGACTCGATCCGAACTCTGGTTGGAGGATATGGGACTTGTATATATGGTATGGGCTTCTAACTATGTGTAGACGGGCCAAATTGGGCTTGAATACAAAACTTATGTGTTGCTTGGGAAGTTATGGGGTATATTGCCTTTTGTAATTGGTTATCCATACTCAAGCCTCTTTTAGAGAAGTGTATATTGCCTTTTGTTCCTAAGGCTGTGTTTGATTGCAGTGCAGTTCTATTTGCACTAGTACAAAGGCATGGGAATGCAAATGAAAAAACAAAAAAAAATGCAAATTTCTTGTTTAATTTTATTTTGGGTTTTACCTTATCATGCTTCAAACCTTAATTTACTTCAATCAAACCAAATAAGTTAAATGTCTTGGAATTGTAATTGCTGATCTTTTGGGTACATAAATGTATTCTTACGAAATACATGCAAAACTGAACCAAAATTTGTGCTCTCTTACCAAACCCAACTGTCAACTTATGAACACAATCATCATTGCTTATAAATTATTCCACACAACAATAAGGAAAGAAAATGAGATAATTCAAATCAATAGCTGTGAGATTAGATATTTATATTCATCATCATCATCTAAGCCTTATCCCAACTATATGGGTCCCATCCGTTACATGAATCCTATCTCAAAAGCTTAATTATGGTCAAGTAACTTAGGAGATATTGATTGTTGTCTTTAAAAGGTTGGGTTTTATCTGATGATGGTGTGATCTTACATATGAATGTATTTTTATGGTTATAGTCTCTTAAAGATGAAATTCAAACTCATAGAGCATTAGGCCAAGGGACCATCATCTCACATGGTTTTTTTGAATTTATGGGATAAAAATTCAAGCTCCCGCCCCCCTCCAAGGAGTCTCCTCAGTCTCAATTAGGTCCTTGGTCATGGTGATGGAGACCAAAGCTTTGAGGAGGGGAAGGCTCTGGCAGAAGTTGTAGGAGTTCACCTTATTATGAAGAAAAGACTCTACCATAGCAGTGGGCCAAGTGGCACCTCTACTTGATTTTGAAAGACTGATAAACTGAAGGCTCTCATGCATTTACAATTATAGATCTCAATAATAGGATTTTATTAATATATGTTCACTAGTTCTGTTATGTAAACAGAAGCAGCAATCATGCTGCACACTTGTATAGCTCAACATGACAGACTCCAAATTGGTTACTGTGGTCAGTTGTGGACCTACTAATGACTGATCTGGTTTTGCTTCAATTTTTCTTTATTTTTCCGTGTGACAAGTGGCAAGTGGCAACACAGCATTGGGCCTTATTATACAACCTCCCAGCTGAGGCCATCCAAATATCCAATGGTGGGTTCCAGTCCATAAAGGACACGTGGCATTACTTCTCAAGAAAATAAATAAATAAGAAAGAAGAGGCTACAACTTAAAGTTAGAATCTCTAGCCCTAAGCCTAAGGCCATAAAGGAAGATGAGAATACAACTCAAGCTGTCGACATTACATGTATAAATATATATACATAAATGTAAAAGAAAAAAAAGGAGATAATAGTGATGAAGACTGACTGCTTGCTCTAATGGGTTGGGTTGGGCCTCCAAGGAAATATTAATAAAGAGTATCCCTCGATTCTCAACGTCACTGGTAAATTGTTCTAACTCCTCGGCCACGGCCAAGCACAGAAGCAGTCACAATTGCAGAGCTGCAGAATACAATTTGTTATACTGATAGAACCAAGCACAGAGCCTCTCTCTCTCTCTCCCATCTATCTGTTTGCTCTGCTTTTTGCATGTGAGGGATATCAGAGCCGCACATGAACCCCAATGCACAGACATACGGTCTAATCTGAGCCATCACTTTCTGTCAAAGCAGGAAACAAGGAGAAAAAAAAACAAAAGAAAAAGTTGGAGACTTTAATCTTATTTCTTAATTTGATCTTTTTATCCAATCCCATTGGCTATTTTAGAACCACTTTTGGACTTAGGATGACTGGGGTTCCCGGTTTCCTACTATCTTTACTTTTTTGGGGTTTTTATCTATTTTTTTTCTACGTGGACTCACACTGACCAATTCTTAGTCTTCTTTTCCCAAAAGTATATTATCATTGATTTTATAAACTGAGCCACCCTTTTTCTTCCTTCTCATTGTCCCACAACTACATCAAAGTCTAAGTCTGCTTAAAAAGATGAGATCTGTTTTAATATAAAATCTTTATCATTCTCTTCACTAAGATTACTTAGGTTACTGTGTCACTGCTTCTTTTTATCTGTTTTCTAGTTAACCTGGGTCTGGGTGGGTGGACCAGGTGATGGATGGTTGGAGTTTGGACAAATGGGAAAATAAATTTGTTTTTCTCTTTTCTATCAACTTTGACGACCAGTGTGTTTGATGTTTTTCTACATTCTACCCCCATTAACTACTAGGGTCTATGGGGTTTCTGACCTCTTAAGCGTAATCAAGGTCCTTGAGCAAGGCTGGGGAGTCATTCCAGTCCATCAACCATAGTTAATGGGCTCTACTGGCTTAGTCAGCCCAGATTATAATTTTGGGCCATATGGTCGGGGTGTCACTAAGGTTAGAGACAACCCATATGCCCAATTGCTCATAACTAAAAAGCAGATGGGTAGATTCATACCCTTCAGCCACACCATAGATTGAGTACTGAGTAGATGAGTATTGAGTTGGAATGGAACCAAGTATTCTCTCTCTCACTCATCATAGGTCTTGTCTGGTTTTTGCTGGGACTTTTATGACACAAGGAATGTATCATTGAGATTTATAACACCTAAATGGTCCATCCTATGGGTCCTTATAATGAACCCACTTGATTTGATTTATTAGAGGAACTCACTTAAAGTGATTATAAATGGTATGGATGGTTTTGGGGAGAGATTATACTATAATTAACGAGTTGTGTGGATTTTTTGTTTTTTTTTACTAAAACATTTCTATTTTGATTTTAGTCCTCTATTAGATGGTGTTTGGTATCGATTTAGCTTTTGGAAGAAAGGGTGCCAGCTCTGCATTTGAGATGAGTTTAACAAAAAAAATGCCTAAAAAGTTATTTAGTTGAGTCATTTATCTAATAAATGGCTCTTCCGAAAATCATGTGAACCGTTTATTAAATTTTGATGTTTTTCATTTTCAAGACTGATTTTTTCACTGTTTGGCTTATATGACGCCTAATGGTGCTGAGATGTAAAAAGAATCATACAAAACGTTTAAAGCAGATTTTGTCTCGTTTTTCAAAACAAAATCGTACAAAACATTTATCTTATAAATGTCATCGGCACCAAACAACCTCTTAATTGTTAGGGCAAAAAATATAATTATTAAAAATTAATACTTTTTCACTTCCTTTAATTCTTCTTTCATTGATTCCTATATTTAAGGTGCTAACTTCCAGTTCTCTTTTCTTCTAAACCTATATTAAAGATATTTTTATTTCTCACTAATAAATTCTACTTATAAATTCATAATATTATTCATTTACAGTAGTTTAATCCGTGAATGGTAATTAACCAAAGAATATATCATATATTCAATATATTGATTAATTAATTTGATTTCAGTTGTTTTCTCTTGAGACTAGTGATTAATCGATCAAAGTATTTTTAGCACAAATCAACGAAGATAACTAACAAGTAAAGTGTGGAAAATGGAGATAAAAACGAGTTAATTAAGGCCTACTGAAAAGTTGGTATTAAATACAGTAAAAGTGTAAAACTGAAAAGGAAAAAGAAAAAGAAAAAGGAAGACGAAACAGAGGGAGTTCTGCTTATAAATAAAGAACACCGGGTCTCAGGACTTGCAGGTTGGTTGTAGCAGTTGGGTTCGTTAGGCATCCCAAAATGGCTCTCTCTGTTTCTTTCACCTCTTTCTCGACTCTGATCCTCCTCTGTTTCTTCGCCTCACTGTTTCCCGGCAATGCCTTTCCATCCCAACTGTACCATCACCCCAACCACCGTCGCTTTGCCAGTCACAACTACAGGGACGCACTTACCAAATCGATCCTCTTTTTTGAAGGACAAAGATCAGGGAAGCTTCCTTCTAACCAGAGGCTTTCATGGAGGAGAGACTCCGGTCTCTCTGATGGCTCGGCCATGCATGTAAGCTTCTGACTTCAACTTCGACCTCTCAACCGCCATCTTTCCTTTTCTCAGTTTTCTCCTCCTTAAAAATCTGAGCTGGGTTTTGTTTATTTTTGTATGGCAAAAAAAAATGCAGGTTGATCTGGTGGGAGGATATTACGATGCAGGGGACAATGTGAAGTTTGGGTTTCCCATGGCTTTCACGACTACCATGCTTTCATGGAGTGTTCTCGAGTTTGGTGGATTGATGCAGGGCGAGTTGCAGAACGCAAGGGTGGCCATTCGTTGGGCTACTGATTACCTTCTCAAAGCCACTTCTCATCCTAATACCATTTATGTTCAGGTCAGTACTGAGTTTGTATTTTCAGTTTTCACCAGTCCTCTTTTCAGTTCTGTGCTTGTTAATCTCCTCTCTGTTTCTTCTCTACCTGGAACAAGAACCCAATCTGTTGTGGGGGTTGCCCTGTCGATCATTAATATATCTTCTATTTGTTTACCATCGCAAACATTTCTTCCATTGGACTGGTAGGAGAGAGCAATGGAGAGGAACTGAAGGTGGTTTTGGTTTCTGTTGCAGGTTGGTGATGCTAACAAGGACCATTCTTGTTGGGAAAGACCAGAGGACATGGATACTCCGAGAAGTGTTTTCAAGATTGACAAGAACACCCCGGGTTCCGACGTAGCTGCAGAAACTGCTGCTGCTCTTGCATCTGCTTCTTTGATCTTCAGAAAATCTGACCCATCTTACTCCAGGCTTCTCCTAACAAGAGCCATCAGGGTAGAGTTAAAACTGTTGGCGAAATGTGTTGCTCTCCTTGTTCGCACGCCAAACCCCCTGAGTTCTCACTCTTTTTCTAATTCTAATTATTGTGTGGGGCTGTAGGTGTTTGCTTTCGCTAACAAGTACAGAGGTTCCTACAGCAATGGATTAAAACCATACGTCTGCCCTTTCTACTGCTCTTATTCGGGTTACCAGGTAAGTTCCTCTGCTTTTTTCTCACTTAGGTTTCTTATTTTCAAGGGATTCGTTCTAAACCTTCTATTTTCCATTGTTTTACTCTGAAATGAAGGATGAGCTGTTGTGGGGAGCTGCCTGGTTGCACAAAGCTACCCGAAACCCTGCTTATTTGAACTATATTCAAGTGAATGGACAGAGCCTTGGAGCAGACGAGTCTGACAATGTATTTGGATGGGATAATAAACATGCTGGTGCAAGGATTCTTCTCTCCAAGGTCCTATTTCTGTAGCATTTTCTGTCGTATTTTATCTTATATTAATACTCATTCTATTTAGTGGAATGGTTTTTTTTTTCTTTTCTTTTCTTTTCTTCTTACCTTGTTCTATTTCAGGCCTTCCTTGTCCAGAAGGTGCAAGTCCTCCATGATTACAAGGGTCATGCTGATAACTACATATGTTCTCTCATACCAGGGAACCCATTCTCTCAAGCTCAATATACCCCAGGTTGTACTCTCTCTTTCTCTCTCTCTCTCTCCTAAATTTAGTGTAACGGCTAGTAATTGACATTCTTTGAAAACAGGGGGGCTTCTGTTCAGGATGAATGACAGTAATATGCAGTATGTGACTTCCACTTCGTTCCTCCTATTAACTTATGCCAAGTACTTAACCACTGCCCACAAGGTCGTCACCTGCGGTGGAATGACAGTCACCCCAAAGAGGCTCCGGGCTATTGCTAAGAAACAGGTATTATTATTTAGTTGGGTTAATAATGTTAAGATTTGCTTTGCTTGTCTGAGAGTGAAGAAAGAAGATTAATGGGGTGTATGGGGTGGTGAACACTGAACAGGTAGACTATCTGCTGGGAGACAACCCACTGAAGATGTCCTACATGGTGGGGTACGGAGGGAGATACCCACAGAGGATACACCACAGGGGCTCATCACTGCCGTCCATCGCCGTTCACCCAGCCAAGATCCAATGCTCTTCCGGGTTCAGTGCCATGAAGTCCCCATCCCCAAATCCCAACATCCTTGTGGGAGCAGTGGTCGGAGGGCCAGACCAGCACGACCGATTCCCCGATCAGCGGCCCGACTACGAGCAATCAGAGCCTGCAACTTACATCAATGCACCTCTAGTGGGTGCACTTGCGTATCTTGCCCATTCCTCCGGCCAGCTCTGACTGAAGTCGTCTCGATCTCTAAATTCTCAAGCTTTTTTAAGTTTTAACATAACACCACCAATGACCAAACAAATCAAAGGCCCAAGGCCTTTTATTGTAGATTTGTTGTTTGTTTTATTTTAGAATTTAGATTTGTTTAATTTAAACGATGTTGTATTGAATTGTTCCTGTGGAATGTGGAATCTAGACGATTAGCCCCCTCAACAAGCAAATATCTTATCTAACCAAGCAAAGGATTTCTTCTCATTTCTGTAGGAAGTGTTTGCGTGCTGAGTTTCGTGCCGGGAACGGCGTTTAACTGTTTGTTACTGGTGGTGTTATTGGGACTTGTGCTTTGTCTGCTTTTAACACTCTGGAGTCTGGGCTCTGGAGTGGGACAAGTTAGCAAATTCTTCAATTAAAAACTGTAAATAAAGCTTAAGAGAGATTAACTGAAATGTAAATAAATGACCGTTGGTTGGTATCTAGCATTGAATATTTGACCGTTGGCGGTAATTAACGAAAGAGACGAAACGACTTCTACTGGATTGATTATTGGTTCGTGTGGTCAAAAAAAAGAAAAGGTTTCAGTAGTACGTGTCAGGTGTCAGATTACGCGGATGCCCAGGAGGACACAAGGTGATAAGAGATTTGATTGGGGGTGTGGACACTCTCTCTCCACACTCCCACTCCACTGGACTCTCTCTCTCCAAGTGATAAGATCATAAGACCAGAAGACATTCATTCCACTCTGTCTCCCACTTTTTTTAATTGGTTTTTTATTTTCATAAAAGAGTAGTTTTTTTGCTGGTTGGGTCGTATAGGAAGGAGTCTACTGTATATCAACCAGGAATCTTCATACGTGGCATCGCGATAAGAAAGCAAACAGTTGGCAATGTATGCAGGGAAACCGGATCTGCTGCTAAGTGTGCCACGTGTCCTCCACAGTAATCGACCACACACAACATGCATTGTGTAATGTGTGTCACATGGTGAAGGCAGGTAGGTGGCAAACAAACATTTGCTTGTTGGCAGCAAATCCGGTCTTCCCATGATCCCTCCACTCCACTAATAAACGAAAGGGGTCGGATCTGGACTTTGTGATCCATATAATCCATATCCATATTCAAATGGGAAGGAATTATGAAGTTGGTTTGTTCGAATCCTCATGGTAGTTAGTAATTTAGTATCATATGGGAACCATACATGCATTCGGATCAGATCCCCAAAATTAAAGAAAATGCTTTCTTTTGATCTGATCCTGTGGGTGGTGGGATCTGATCCCAAACCCAAATGCTGATTATGAGATTTTTTTGTGAGCTTTCATTTTGGAGGTCTTGACCCAATTAACACCATTCTGTTTAATTCCGAAACTTGTGTATGAGAGAGAGAGAGAGAGAGGGGGAGAGTATGATGTGTTTTGTTGGAATATATGATTGAGTAATTATCAAACATACAGAGAGGAATGGAGGAATCTAAGCTGTGTTTGTCCCAGAAAAGACCCAACATGTAAAAAGAGTTCTCTACTAATAGCATTAGCAATAGTAGCTCCATTCCACTGAATCAAACATGAAAAGTTGTTATACTTTGGATGGGCCACAGGTGCACATGTTGATGTTGATTTTCAGACCAAGAACTAGATAATAAGGTATCTCAATTCTCAAAAGGCACGGCACGGCATGGGAATCGGACTCGGACCCAGGTACTAGTTATTGGAATCAAGGTAGTCCATCTCCAATTCTCCATTTGATTGCAGTTGCAGTTTCAGTTGCTCCACTCGATCCCTTTTGAGTAAGAGTGAAGTATTTATATCCCACATTTGCTGTTGTAACAGTAAACTTTGAAGTTTATGGTGAAGATCATATTTAATAGAGTCCAAGGAGGGGGTTGGTTCATGGTTTTTAAAAACGAACTGGTGACCGAACCGGTCAGGGGTCCGGTTACCAGTTCAAACGGTCCGACTGTTCGACTCGAACGATCGGCCCGTTCTGATAAAAAAATTGAAAAACGGTCAAAGCCGTTCGAACGATTAACCGACCGGTTCAGCAATTTTCTGACCAAAATCAACGGTTTTAGAGGAAAAGTGGTTTTGGAGGAAAACGGAACCAGTCAGGTGACCGGTTCCCAGTTTTTCCAGTTCAACCGTCCGGTCCGATCCGGTTTTGAAAACCATGTGCATGGTGCCAGACCTGTATTCGAATATGTTTTTGCTGCTACTGGCTCAGAGTCTCAGATTTTGAATTCTCATTTGAAATTTGGAGAATTCCAAAAACTTGGAGATCCAACTACAAAGCAGAGATAGTCTGATAAGTGGCAACAACATTTCTCTTGGCATCTTTCACCCTTTATATTCGACCTTGAGTGAATGGAGTTGCATAAACTTGTAAATACATGACTCAGACTCTTCTGAGATGGCTACTTCTTAGTCTTCAACACACACACACAGAGAGAGAGGGCTTCATAAGTTTTTAGAACAAGCTTTGTTTGGATTGAACTCCAATTCTATAATAGAGAGGAAGCGGAAAAAACATGTGGTCATATGAGAAAAAAGTTTGTTTGGCCTTGCGTGATAGTAACATGGGGGCGCAATCAGCAATGGTTAAAGTCAATCATGTAATAATTTCAGCATCCAAATACAGGGAACCTGCCCATTCATTGCAACACGTCTGTCTTCCCTTTTTTTCATTCTGGCCATGTGCTTTTAAGCCATCCATGTTTAATGTTTATACAAAGAACAAAATTCTCCCTCTAGTTTTTTGTTTTGTTTTCTTCTTCTGAGCGCTGACGACGAATACAGACCACCACGCCATTCAATTCAACATGTCTAGAGCTTTGGTTATTTAATTAACCATGGCTGAAGTTGCGTGCCAACCTTACAATGCGCTGGATACACGTGAAAAACAGAATGTAAAGATGACTCTTTTCCAACAATCAGCATGTTTTTTCTCTTTTTATTCAAATCTAGATACAATTGTTTCTAATCAAGGTATCAACGTCCAGTCCAAATTCAACAGTTAAAATTCAGGGGCAAGATCAGAACTAGTCCAGCCGATCTCATCACTTGAATGATTGTTTCTCCACTAAAATGAGGCATCTTCAGTTTTCCTTCTCCATATGAAATCTTTTATCTAAACAAACCACTGAGCTTACATGATAATATTTATTGAAGTATATACTAGTATAATACCGTGGTATTTTATACAACATGACTGGGAATTTATTCTACATGGTCACTCACCATCATGGCTTATTGCCGATTCCGTGTAAAAACGATATTTTCAAGCTTCTGTAGATTTTTACAGCCTAGCTCTCTGTAGCTCTAACTTAGCTATGGTCCCCAAATGAACTTCATCTGGTCCATCAGCAATTCTCAATGTCCTTGCGGTAGCCCATAAATGTGACAAGACAATGTCTGAAGATAAGCCAGCCGCACCATGAACTTGCATTGCCATGTCAAGAACCTGCAATGCCATATTTGGAGCTGCTACCTGCTCCATGCACACAAACAAAACAACTTATCAATTTTGAGCTACTCCACGTCTCTTGGTTAAAATGCTCGAGAAGGATAATATTTTATTTCCCTACAAGCCACTGTTTTAAAATCACCAAGTCTGGTACTGGTAATAGCACATATAACGAACAAGGAGTTTAACCTTTTCCACCTCAGCCTTCAGTTGTTGTACAGTTAATAGTTATCGTCAATGTTTTAAAAACCGACCTGGAGGCCGAACTGTTTTTTCCTCCGTGTTGCAGGTCACTGGTTCGACCATCCAGATCAAATGGGTCAGACCATGCTACATGCAATAAATAATGTACAGTTATGTTCTACATGTACTATATGTATTATTTTGTATTTAATTTAGGTTTTTTAATTCCATTTTTTAATTTTTTATTTGCAAAATATATTAAAAAATGTACTTCAAAAAAGGTTTTTTTTTTTTTTGTGAAAATAGCGAGGCAAGGCGCCTATTGGACATGTACTTTGGGACACAGAGATCTCAAAAAGTTACCCAAAATTAAAAAAAAAAAAATCACCTCAATTGGACATGACCACCCAAAGTTTGTATACACATTTAGTATGCAACCCGTAACCCAATCACCGGGTCAAATAGGTCAATGGTCCAACCATCCGGGTTGGGTGGTTATTGACCATCCTCTGGGTTTTACTAAAATCGGACCCGGAATCTTGAAAGGGTGATGGTTCGAACGATTCAACCAGCCAGGTCAGCGGCAGGTTGAAAAGACTGGTTATTATACAATTAGTAGTTATTGTATGGTTACTGTAACTAGCCTTATCGTGTATAATTTTTCTTTGTTCAAGTCAGTGAGAATTGAGTCGAATTGTAACCAATTATAAGTTGGTATCAAAGCAGAAATCCATTCACAGATTTCAATGGCTAAAGGAAACTCTACTACCACAGGGGCAGTTGCCGCCACTCTAGTCTATTATACCACTCCCAATCCTTCAAGCATGGGTAATATTGCTCATCTTCTTCCCATTTAAATTGAATGGGAACAATTTCAATCTCTGGAAGGCACAATTTATGCCTATTTTTTGACTTCATCAATAGATGGGGTATGTGGATGGTTCGTTCAGTCAAATGTCCACCACAGTTTGTTGGTGACTCCAGTGATTGTAATAGTGCATCCAACACAACCTACCTGCATCTGATGTGATATTTTGTTGTACATCATGTATGATAATATTGATTAATGTATATAATTTTGTTTATTTCAGAAGGGGGAGGAGACATATTGGTTTACGTATACAGGTATGTTAATGTGAAAGGGGATGACAAAGGGTGTTTCATTGTGAAATATTATTAGAGTAGATGTCTATGCCTCATTTTCATGTAAAATATATGCCCTTGCATGAGTGATAAAATATGATAAAGTGTATTACACATACAATTCAACTGAATTCAACTAAGCCTTGTCCAAACTATATTGGGTCAGCTACATGAATCTTATTCTGAACTCTATAGCTTCTAATAAAGTGCCTTGGAAATATTGAATTTAAAAAATCAAATTGGAGAAGTGTATCTTTGGAATCAATATGGGTGTGGAAGAGAATAGGGGGTATGCATCTATATTGAGGTATGTGGTGAACCAATGGCCTATGACAGATATTTAGGCCTACTACTTGGAGGTAATCCTAAATCAAGAAATTTTTGGGATCCAGTCATTGATAGGTTCACTAGAAAACTGGTTACATGGAAGAGAAACTGTGGCCTTGGGGACTCAAAGAGGGATCATTTTATAAGTTGGGAGTTAGTTTCTAAAATAAAGGACCAAGGGGGCCAGGAAGAGGGCAATTTGGCTTGAGGGACTGAGCATTACTGGGCAAGTGGCTGTGGAGAATTCTATTAGAGTGAGGCTATATGGCATGATTTGACTGCCAGCATTTATGGGGTGCATGCAAATGGATAGGATTTTATCTTGTTTACAAGCTTACCTTATCCCCTCCAATGTTTTAGCTGTGTCTAGGCATGAGCCTTTTTTGTTATTAACTTTTAAAATAAACATAAGCAAGACCTTTTAAATACCTAAACACTTTGTTCTTGCAAATAAGAACACAAATAATAAAATTTCCACTAAAGAAGAAATAACAATACAACCAATGCCCAATTCTTGATCCCAAAATAGAATGAACTGCAACTAAAATTACAAAACCAACCCCTTTAAATATATGGACTGAACATTTAGCTTGAAAACTGCCCTAAACCCCTGAATGGATTTGTTGGTTTTGCCTTAAAGGGCCTTTATGGAGGTAAAGGCCAATTTCCTAAGAATGCAATATGCTTAACATCGTATTAGCTACTTGAAGTAACGCAACTAGGAGATAAATAAACAGATTAAAAGTTTAACGTGTTTGAATTGTTGAGAGCTTAAAGCACATAGCTACAATCCACATATAGTTATCTTCATTTTTGCATTTTCACTTTGAGGGCTTATTCGTTTCCTCTGATGTCTGGCATCTGAAAATGCAATAATTACATTAAGAGGTATATTGGTATTGGTGAACTTTTCTTTCCTCTGAACTCTGAATGCAGAGAATGTTGTTCTGAATTCTGAATTCTGAAAATTATCAAATATCCATTTTGACCCCATATATGAGAGTTTTTGGTTGTCTTTTTGGAGAAAACAAAAAGTTGTATGATTGCACTTTAAGAAATAAGAGATAAGAGGAAACAAACAACCATTTTTCTCTTAAAGTTAAAAGATTCCTCTTAAGAGATAAGAGTTAAGAGGAAATAAACAGGCCCTGAATATGTCTTATATGCTATGTTTGTATTTTAATTTAATCTAATAGGCATTTTAAAACATTTAATTTCCTTTAAAATTCGAGTTTTCATTTTTATGTATTACTATTTTGTATGTTTTTTTAATTTGCACCTTTCTTAAAAAAGGCATGCCTCACCTAACACCTTTCATGCTAGAAAGCCCTTGTGCATTTATTTATTTATTTTAATTTGCACATTTCTTAATCATTTGTTTTATAAGGATTAAATCTTGCCATAACAGCAAATTTTGTCATTTTGTATACAAAAGCCCTTCTATATAAGAGACGCACCAATTTTAGGTATAGTGTAGCTAAACTGTGAGTTTGTCACATTGTATAAATAAGGGTAGAAGGGTGTGAAAGGGCATCAGGCATCATAGAAATTCAATTTTGAATTTAAATTCATAAATGGATTTAAAGAAAATTACAACAGTAAACAGAAAGTAGTTTTTCATATTAGTAGAGCTTCAACTAGTAGCCCTCATCATGTGTTCTTCACAAGCGGTTTCTCTTCTTTATGAGAAGAACAAAGCAACATTTTTCTCTATTGCAGATCAGGAGATTTAACTCTTTATTTGTTTTTATTTTCCCCTTTGTAATCAACAAACCATTCCCCTAGCCTTATCTCTTTCTGTGACCAGAACAGGGGATCCACCCCATGAATTCTTTCTTTTTTCTTTCTCCATGATTAACACAGACACACATCCACTCTTCTTATCGCAGTCAATATACTAAGAGCTCCCTTCATTGTTTGTTTTTCCCCATATTTGGTTTTATCACACACACAAATGCATACCATGTATCTCCCTCTTACATTACCCACAAGGATATGTTCTGGTGCCTCCATTCCACTTTATGTTTGACTTTCATTTTAGATCAATTTTAATGTTTTCAACTGAGGAAACAAACTAATCTATGAAACAATAGGGAGTTTTTACCAGATTTTATATAAAGAAAACATCACCTAGGTAGGCACCTAGCACATCTTTAAAAGTTGCACTTTGGTTCACAGGCATAACTCATTTTGTGGGATGCACCTCACCTAAACCTATGTGTGCCTCACCTGGCTTGTTGCTTTATTTTAATAAATCAATCTTGATTTTGATGTTGAATGTGATACTGAATAGCCACAACCATCATGTCAATAACCATAGTTGTCAAGGCGATGCCTAGGCGACAAGGCGCCCTTGGAGGCTCGCCTCACCCAGTCGCCAAGCAGTTTTGTGCACTGGGTTATAAAATACTTTTATATTTTTAATTTTTTGACATTATAATTATAAAATAGACATTATTAAACTAGAATATCCATTTTATATGTTTATATACTAATTTCTTTTTATTATTTTCTTATTTTGTTAGGGTTTAATCAACGCAAACATTGCTAACTATTGTATTGAACCCATGGTTCAAAGTATCGATACACCTCTGTGTATTGGCAAAGGTGACTCCCCCTATTTTTTTATTTCTTTGGTTTTCAATTTCATTTTTAAATATATATATATATATATATATATTATTTAAAAGAATGGGTCCCCGAAAACACCTATAAACAGGGTACCGGGACCCCAAAGATACAATACAATACAACCGATACGGGGCGTATCGTATTGAAAATTTGATCCTTGATTGAATCGTCAAAAATCCAAAACCTGAACCAATATGCAAGGGAAGAACTTAAAAATTTGTCTAATCAACACATTTTCTTCTTCCACCTTTTCTTTTCTTCTTTCCTATAACAAAAGTAGGGGTTCAGCCCCTATATTTTTTGAATTTTCTTTCCTTTGTTCTTTTTCTTCTCATAAAATCTTGATTTTCTAGACTTAAACATGAAATTTATATTTCTCTTATGAAAATTATGAATAATTGTTAAGAAAAGATGGTTATGGAACCTAGGGAACTACCCTAGGATATATGGTTTTACTAAAAAAAATCCATCACCTAGGCACCCGCCTACACGACTAGGCGACAAGGCACTCCCCTGTCGCCTAGCCTCGCCTTGGCGCCTTGAAAACTATGTCAATAACACTACTATTAGAATCCAATCTGCCTTTGAATTCTGTTAGAATGGTAACAGTAGAAATAAGAGAAAGAGAAGAAGAAGAAGAAGAAGAAGAAGAAGAAGAGAGGAGAATAGAGAGGGAGAAAGGTCTGGTTCGAACAAGAGAGAAAATCTTGTTAGACAGTTTTGTATGCCCTTAGCTTCAA